CTGTCGAGGCACCAAAGGTGATCAGCTGCTACAGTAGGTAAAGCAACTCCTTCCAGCTTTCCATTCAAAAGTAAGAGAAAATTGGAAAGCAAAACTTCAGACTGAACACCCTGTGTCCTGTTCCCACTCCAGAAGCTGCACAGAACATCCACCACTTAGATGTGACTCCTGCCTATACAAGCTGTCCACATCCCTGGAAACAGGGCTTGGACCTGGCTGAATACTCAGCATATGCCTGATGACCACCAAAAATCAACCCCCAAAGCCCTGAAACAAACTACAGCTTCAAGTGAGAGACCAGAAACAATTGGGACTGCAAAGGCCAAAAAAGGCTGTACTTTTCAAATGTTTCCTACTACATACAAGAACAAATGCAGGATGTGATGTTTGCTTAGTTTTATTAATTTATTTTTGCAGGAATCTGCACCTTGGAGTATGCACTTTCTGGAGGTACCATGCATGCATAGCCTCTGAATGCTTTATACAATTTCATCTCTTAGTAATAAGTTCATTCACAGCATACACAAATCTAGAATGTAGACACCATATATACAGGATTAAACAAGATCGTGTCTCCTTTTTTAATGAAAAAATTTAACAGGGTTTCACACAGCAGGAAATATGGATTAGATACACTGGTGCCACCATAAATAAATAAGATTCAAGAACACAGTTTTCTTAAAATTGGTTTCAAAGGTACTGAAAATCCAGGATTATAATATTGCATTAACTCCACTGATTTCTGATTATTCAAACCCAAGAAAATATTTGTATTCATGGACATAAACAGCAATGAAAGCCCCAACTGAAGAAATGTGGCAAAATTAGGTTCGTATAGTACTGACATTTTGAAACTAAAACAAATGCAGCAGCACACAGAGACAGTTCTGACTACGAGATGTGAGACCTGTGCACGTCTCCTTTCCTTGTGGGATTTAGTCACTGCAGGAAAGAGCATGGAAATGCTGTGGTACCAAAGTAGCTGCTCAATTGCTTATGTCCAACTGTCCACTTCTCATCAGGATAGTCATTTTCACATTCTAGGGTACACCACTGCATTTCAAAACAGAAACTATCATCCTGATGACAAGTTTGGTTTTAACATATTTGATATTCTCACATTCTTTTTTAAAACATTCTTTATTGGTTTTCTTTTGTCCCCATTGCAACTCAAGTATTTTCTGTCTGTTTCAAGGGATTTTACAATCAGTATTAAAAGTATTTGGAAATTGAAGTGAGAGATGTATAGCTGGGACAGATAAAGTAACTGAAAGTCAAGTTGGGTTTTTTTAAAAAAAAACGTGATTCAGTAGCATATCATAATCAGAAAGTTCTGAGACCAGCTCTTTTAAGAATTATTACACCTTTTCACCACACCTCCCATTTTTCAAGGGAAACACACACATACCACAGACACACAGATACACAATTCAATCTGATCTAAGACTACATTTTACAAAGTACTTCCTTTTGCTTGACTTCCCACCCCTTTCCTCTTCACCCAAACGAGACTAATAATTACATCAAATTAAAAGTAGATCCAAAGAAGTTCAGGATTTCTTTTGGTTTACTATGTTCTGGATAACTTTCCACAAGCCCCACTCTAAATAAACTTTTCAAGAACTACAGTAGAATCCTCGAATTAAAGGGAATCCATCTTCATAGCACAGTAAATATAAAATAAGCTTTATAAAATTTCAGTGAACAGTGAGATCATTTTGCATAACTGAATGTCCGAGTCAATCTAGTAGCATGGCTGAGGGAACGCTCAGTCATTAAGGAAAGAGGAAAACACAAGTAGTGCATTAACTCAACACAACAGCATGGGCATCCCACCACTCTCACACACACACACACACTTTGTACAACACAGTGCATTCTCTGCCAGCTGACATTAGGGGTTTATGTGCATTCAATAAATATCACAGAAACCAATCTTTTTGGTATAATCTACAATTCAGTTGGGGTGTCAAAGGCATCACCTGCTTTCAGAAGGAAAATGATCTTCCAATATGCAAAATGCAATTTACATTCTAACAGACTGTTCAAGCACCATGTAAAGTCTTTGCTATTCATGTCTGAGTGTGGGCACTGACCAATAAAAGAACACAACTGAAGGGTGTTGTGGGGTGTTTTTGTACAAGCAACAAATGAGAGTAATTGACAAACTGGAGTAAAATTATTGGTATGAAGGAATTCTTTTTCAATTTAACAGCTCTCAGTCTTCCAAAAAGGACCCTGCTGTTGCAGCAGTCTTCCTTCCCTTCCTCTGGAGAAGCCAGGACTAGGATTTGCAAGTCTCCATGCATAGTCATGACAGTTCAGGGAATTCTTGGACTCTATGTGTATTCCCCCCCCTTCAAAAGTGTCTTCTATTCTGTCTGAAAATGGCATAACTGTATTTTTGCATGACACACCTACTCTCATTTGCTGACTGTCACTTCAGTTGCTACCTTTTTGCAATTCCAGCAAAAACAAATGCTTCTAGAACTTCAACAGAAGTACAAGCGAATAGAAATTTGAAATAACACGAAGAAAAAGGCATCAGGATAGAAAAGCCATGAAGTTACTGGTATTGTTTTGAGTAATTCATTACACAGCTGATAACAGCAATGCTTCTGCTCATGTTTTCTAGCCACCTCAGTTTGACTGTCCACTTACAGGAACAAAATTAATATTTGCCTTCTAATTTCATTTGACAGCAATTTTTTTACCCCGTTCCACATGCGATGGGCTCCCCCAACAGCAATATAAATCATTAGGCAGGTAGGAAGAAAAACTATGCCTGATGCCTTTGACTTTGTTTTTGCTCATCAGTGATGCACACTGATTGTTGGAAATCTCTTAGCTTATTTAAAATTCCACTGAAGGGTTAATTAGTGCAAGAACATATTGAAAAACGATAAAATATTGGTTCCTCATCTGAGATCAACAGTTTGGATCTTACTGTTATCTTTATGGACTGTAGGGAGAGAAGACACCAGACTGACAATGCAGCCAGGATGAGTTTTCCTCCACTCACCCCTTGCAAATGCTGCTTTATTTCAAATAAGGATTCAGACACATGATTGTTCCACCACAGCTTAACACGTTATCACACATCAAGAGAACTGTGGTAATTGACCATAAGGATGTGGCTGCCATGAGCTAAGAACAGTTTAAAATGAAGTAGTTTAGAACTCTCCTGTAAAGTTTAGCTAAGCAAATTTTGCCTTACAGCCACAAAGTCAATTCCCACAACTCAGGTGATGTGCTCGGTTGCATCTCTGAATCGTGACGAGGTTATACCATAAAAACTCAAATGCACTGTACCAGCTTCTGGCCAGGACACAAGAACATCCTCCTCAGTTGCACAGTTGTGTCACAATCATTCAGCTGCCCAAACCCAAGTTCGATTTCACAAGTATCGAGTGCTTTATTACAGCAACCTGAAGCATTCAAACTGATTGAACATCACCTTTATATAACAGTATATCATATGCAGAAAAGTACCAGGATGATATTCAGTCACAAGTCCTATGTTCTTCATTTCCTGACCAAAATAAAAAGAATGCAGTGTGTAATTTTTCAGGATCTGGCATCTGCTATTTTGTACAGGCTGGTTTATTAACAATGTGCAAATAAACCTTTACTGAAGAGCTGATCAATTATTTTTTTCAGCTAACTTTGATCTGGGGCACAAAGTACCTTCTGTGCTGTAAACACCATGAATTCTTCACAAATTGGAAGCTGAAAAGGCCTAAGGAACTGGGTATAAACTCTTCTCATACGCAACCGTGGCTGAGCTCACGTCTTCCAAAGGGAATTTGGAGCAGCCTGTTTGGCACAGGCCTGGGAGACTGCTGGATGTGACAGCAAACCTTTAGCTCTGAAACATGACAGCCCCATGAAGCATGCAGCAGTATTTTCATCAGTAACATGGTAGAATTCATTCTCAGTTTATTACCAGTGTTGACACAGCCAGGTGAGCACTGTACAAGCAAACGGGATTGTAAAAAACTACCTCTGATTAAACTCTCTGTAACACTCATACGGTTTCTCATTTAGTCACCTCAGGTTATTATCTCAAACAGCAATTTTTTTGTAGACATAAGTTACCCTGAAAAAAAAGCAGCAATTACAAATACCCTTCTCCTTGTTTTTTTTAGACATTGCAAAATTCATCACTGCATTTACCTCTCTTCTTTTTCAGTAGCTTACAATCTAGAAGCACAGGGAGCCTTTGTTTTCCAGCTAGCTGTGGTCAGGTTACATCAGCTCTGGCTCTTCAGTTTTTCTGGTTAAGTGTAACACTTCACACCATTACTAAGAGTCCTATAATTTTCTTTTAAAAAAACAGTAGTTTTGGGTTGGTTTTTTTTTTCTTTTAGAGCCACTAAGCAGTAACTATAACCACAGGACTAAACACCAGTAGTTATTTGCTTTCCTGTATACATTCTTCTCAAAATTAATCCTTTTACATTTTCAGGTTTCATTTTCTGCTTTGCTCACTGCAATGGGATAAGAAAGAATTTAACCTTTAATTTATTTCTTTTTTAGTGTAGCAGAAGCAGAAAGATCTTAACACATTACTCCCACCCCTTGCAGTCTGAAGACTGTTGACTAGCAAAGGCCAGGCAGGTGGACTGAAAGGTTCCCCATGTTTCCTTCTCCTACAGCTGTGGGCTTGAGAGCCTGTTTTCACCCAATGCAGCCCCTTCCTAATTTCAGGTGTATCGTGGCATCTCACACTGTTCACAGCGATTTAGTGCTGGGTGATTTAGAAAGGTGCAGCTACCACAATTCCATGGAGCCCCTTCAAAGTCTTCATCTCTTGGCTGAGTCCGTGGAGTCTGTTTGGAGCTGTTTTGATGCTCTAAAGAAAACCCAAAAGAGAACATCTTATTTCAGGAGAGACGGATGATAGGCAAGACCCTACTACTGGCTGGTCACCTAATTAAACAGTCTAACCTAAAATGAACATGGAAACCTTTCCACTTAGGTAACACTAACAGCCTTTTCCTAAAGCACTTCTAATTCGGTTTGTGAAACCTGAATATTGAAAGTATTTCACTTCTGTAAAGAGTCTCTTAATCGTAACAACCAAAAAACCCAAATAAAAGCACTCACCACTGTTAGGTCACTCACACTGCTAAAGGTTTAACAGATAAAATGTACCGAGTTTCTTACTGGCACTGCGACACCATCCTGTTCAGGAATGACTTCACAGCTTTCCACACAGCAGTCTAGAACCAAACTCTAAATTCCAATAACCCTGCTCTACCTGAAGTGAAAGACAATTCTAACTTAGTTCCTTCAAACAGTCTGGCAGATGACAAATATTCTGCATCTTTTTCTAGCACTTATCCAGGCTGAAAGAAAAACACAACATAAAACCAAAACGATAGCCCTGTTTCAAAACATGGTTACTGCATTTCCCCATGGCTTTGCAGCAGGGATGTGTCTAAGTGAAGCAGCATTTAAGTCTGTTTTCATTCATAAAATCAGTATTTATACAAATCACACCTTAGCTCTTAACCCATGGAATGCCACCACTTCAAGACCTTAGATTATCTACTAAAAGTGACAAATACTCCTAGGATGTGGCAACACAACATTTTGCAAAAATGTTATTAATCAAAACAACATTAACACATACCTAGAAGGTAAGGTGAAGATACCCATCTGCTAACCAAACATCTGTGCAGCAGCTTTATTAGAAGAGAACTTCAGTGGCACAAAGGGCTGCAATCTGTAATTGCACACCAAGTGGTTGGCAGTGGCACACACAGGGCACAGGTTCCTGCCACCTGCTAAGAGCAGCGTTCAGCTGGCACAACCCAGTGCAGGTGAGACAGCTTTGTCTTCAGGGACAAGCGCAATAAAAGTAACCTCCTCGCTCAGATGCAAACCCTCAGCAGCTCAGCAGCTGCAGCCACACTAACAGTGCCTGACCTCCACAAATTCCTCCCAAGCAGGAGCAGTGTGGGCACTTGGCCGTGTTCTGCTGACTGCCCAGACCCTTGTGTGCCCATGCCTGTCTGCCTGCCCACATCTTCCACTGCTGAGTATGCAGGAATATTTATTACTTCAGAAAAATGCAAATCTTAAAAGCCCAGCTCAGAATACAGTACACCAGCCCTCAAACTGATCTCTAACAAGCTGACAAACAAACCCAGGAAGCACAGACATACAAATCCTTACAGAACTCACGAAGTACTATCTCTCCAATTGCCAAATAAAATAACTTTATTTCATGCAACTTTTGCACATTGTTTTGCTTTGATGTAATAAACAAATAGGCTAGTGTAATTAAGAGGATCTCTCGAAGTAACATCTCCTTAAATCTCTGGAATTTAACATGAATCCTTCATGCCACTGCTCACCTGCTGCTACTGGCTGTCCTGGACACTGCCACCTATGCAGGGAACTCATCCCAGTATTGCTTTTTTTTTGAACAAAAAGCAGTTAGTTCTGGGCCTTCTCCTTCTTTTAAATTTCCACATAATTTTATTACGCTGAGGGGTAAATTACTTGCTTCGAAAGAGAGGGAAAATTTCTTTATATGAATTCAAAATTCACCTACTGAACCCTTTGTGAAGTGCTTACCAGCAACCAGAACTTATTGACAAAACCTGGAGTGTCAAGGAGACCACATGATAACTGACTCAGAACAGTGAATTCTTTTCCACTAAGAAGTGCAGTACATGTTAGATACAGTAAGAGGAGACACAATATTATAAATCTTATCACACACAACATTTTCAGACAAAAGACTACTGGCTTTCCTCTATCAGAGCACAGGATCCCAACTGGCTATTTCAGCAGAAGCGCACAAAGTGTTTATAAATTTCTGCTAACATGTGAAATTACTTTTTTACCAGATCTCAGGAAGAAAAAGATAGAAAAGTAAAAAAGTAGCTGCCACAAAAGGCTGTGTTCCAAAATCACCACTAAGCATAGAGACCTAGTGAGCTAACACAGCGACTAGGCGTCTACTGACGATGCACTGAGTCACTCTGGGATGTGCTGACTCAATCTCCACGGGACAAAAAGTAAGACTAAACATACAACTCCTGTGTTTACATAAAATTTAAGTGTCCTAAGCTGGGTATGAATCCTACATACTGTACAATTAGCACTGAAAATGAATGAACTTGTACAACTGGGACACTGCTGTCACTTTAGACCAACGTGAGAAAATGTCCTCCTTGGTCCTTAAGACATCTGAAGCTCTTGCTGTGCTAAAACTTCAGGGCTACTGTGAAATTCACACTACACACAGGCAAAATAGGCAAAGTATGACCAACCAAGTTAAAATATAATTAAGAATATAAAAGCAAATTAAAAAAAGGTCCTGTGACCAATTAAACTAGCATAAAAGACCTCCAACTGAACTATAAAATCCTAACAACATGTATTAAAAGACAACTAAACAAACCTGACATAGAGCTTTTAACCTAGCAGTATTTAAAAAGAAAAACATTAGACAGTTCACGTTAACATGGAAAGGTTTGTATATTTTCAGCTTTTTCTCATAGTGAATAACAGCATTTATAATCAAGGTATTAACAGAACATTCACTGGCAACAATCTGCCTGAGGAAAACAAGTTGTAGTCAGAATTACTGCACTTACATGAAAATGTCCTGGTTTGGTTTATATAGAGAGAAAATTTCACTAAGGAGAATTTCCTTCCTGTCACCACAGGAATTTTTTAAGAAAGAAAACAAAAAACCTCTCTTAATGCAGGTTAGGTAGCTTGAAGCTTGTCTGTTGACCTACCTTTTTTATATGGCTTTGGTGGCACAACAGGACCAGGCTCTATGTTATCATAGAAGTTACATGTGGCTTTCGGATCAAAGTTTCCTGTTGGAAAACAGAAGTTAAAAAAAGTGTAACTTGAAGGTTTTTTTAAATGGCTGTGTCAGTGGTATGAACACCTTGAAGCTTCTGATTTTATATCTTTTTATTATGACATTATATCTTAGCTTTTTCACCAGTTTTGTCACACATTTTCAGTTTTACGTTGATTCTAATAATTTTTAGCAGGGTAATCCCATATGGAAGAATCAACTCCAGCTCAACATGCTGAAATGCTTTAACAATATGTGAAATGTAAATCTTTCTATAGAATACATCCTTGATAAAAAACCAGAAGGGCTATGCGTATTCTAATCTATTTGATTCTACTTATGACAAGTTTCTCTCATAGAGAGGATTTTTCAAGACATAACTAGATTTCTGTTTGCCAACTTCTTGGCTGCAACCTGTAGTTCTGTTCTGCCTTACATGATACAGCCTTTGTCAGCAAAAAGTTACAAATTAAAGTGTCTTCACAAAAGAGTATTTTTTTTAAATATATTCTTGACAAAGTCACCTTTTAGTCATCCACTTTGTTGATAATGCAATTTAACTAGGCGAACAGAAATATCAGCAAGTCAAGTGTATTAAGTTGCAACTGAAAAAGCACCTTTTAAAGGTAAGTTGTTAATGATAATAAAAATTAAACTTTACAGACTCCAAGTATTCACATTTAAGCACATACTGTATTAGAATCATAGGATTTCTTAGGCTGGAAAAGACCTCTAAGAGCATTGAGTCCAACCATTACTCCAGCACTGCTAAGTCCACCACTAAACCAAGTCACCAGCACCATATCTGTGTGTCTTTTAAATACCTCCAGGGATGGTGACTCAAGCATTCTCCTCACGTTGATGGTACCTAGACTTTCTTCATCAACAGTAAATTTCCTTCTTCTGCAGAGACCTCCTTTGAGCCTCACAGGCTGCAGTGTGCCCAAGGATCCTGTAGCCCATCCTGTCACTGTTACCTGGGAGAAGAGACAGATTCCACCTGGCTACAACCTTTCAGATAGTCGTAGAGTGTGCTAAGGTCCCCCCTGAGCCTCCTTTTCTCCAGGCTAAACACCTCCAGCTCCCTCAGACTTGTGCTCCAGACCCTTCACCAGCTCTGCTACTCTTCCCCGGCCATACTCCAAGACCTCCATGTCCTTCCTGCAGTGAGGGGCTCAAAACTGAACACATTTGGGGTGTGCAACCAGTGCCAAGTACACGGGGACAGTCACGTCCCTCACACTGCTGACCCAGGCCACGATGCCACCTGGGCACACTGCTGGCTCATGTTCAGCTGCTGTCAACCAACACCCACAGCCTCCCTTCGGATGGGAAGCTTTCCAGTCCCTCTGCCCCAAGCCTGAAGAGCTGCCTGGGGTTGCTGTGACCCAAGAGCAGGACCCAGCACTTGCCCTTGCTGAATCTCATAAAATTGGCCTTGCCTCATCAATCCAGCCTGTCCAGATCTCTCTGCAGAGCCTTCCTGCCTTCCAGCACATCAACACTCCTGCCTGTGTCTAAATTGTTTTAAAGAAAATATCGATTCAATACCTCTAGATTGAAGGAGATCAACTTCTTTCAGTGTACAGTCAACATTTATTTGGAGCTGTCTGTTGAGGCTTCTCAATCTGGTCATTTCCTCAGGCTAGAAAGAAACAACCCAAAACAGTAAATGTGGGAAAGTCATCACCTTACTGGAAACAGAAACAACACTGCTACGTCTTTGTTAACAGCTTTATTAGAATCTGAGTATAGATAAGGCATTGAAAAAAGCCAAAGTGCCTGGTCTTCTACCCCTACCCAACTATTCCCTCAAGAAAAACATTCCTCTACTAGCATTTGAGGAGGAAAACAAACAAGCTACTTAATATTAAAATTCATTACTAAGAAGATATAGCTGAGCTCAAGTTTATCAAACCACATACCTTACAAAACTCTGTATAAATTAAAGACTTGCTACCTGAGTTTACATCAGGATGATCAGAAAACACAATACAAGCTGCAGCTCACATTAACTACTACTTGATTGTAACTAAGGTCAGAAGTTTATTTATTTGCATCACCCCAAGAAGCTCCAACAAACCAAACCTTCTAGCCCAGCTGAAATGCTGAAAGACAGTAATTATTCTTAACAGAATAACCAGTTAAGTCCACATATTTGCATATCATTAAGAAACCTTAAGTTACTGGAATACAAAGCATTCTTAATTCTAGCAGCATGGATTACTAAAACCTATGTAGGAATAACTATCTTATCCCAGGACATTTTCCAGGACCACAGAGTCACAAAATCACAGAATGTCTGAGGCTGAAAGGAACCTCGAGGTCATCCAGTCCGACCCCTCCACGTCTTGCTGAGTCCACGTTTTCGTTAGCCTTCCTGTTGTCACCAACACACTAAGAGATGTCCTTCTTTGTCTTTGACATCCCGTGCCAAATCCAACTCCAGCTAGGCTTTGGCTTTCCTATCATCATCCAGTGCCTCTGTATTTTCTCCCAGGTACAATCTCCCAAATGCTGCCCTGAGAACACTAAGACATGCAGAAGCCAGAGCAGTTAAGCAGTTAACACCCCCTACTCTGCCTTGCAGCCTACACCTGCCTGCATTGTTTATGTCAACACAGCGAGTAAGTTTGAACTGATTTGGCTAACAATCGCACACAAAGGAAGCTATTTTTCAGCCAGATGAATTCCCTTATCAGAGCAGTACAGATGTTTGGGAAGGAGTCCCCCGCAGGTGGAAGTCACACAGATAAGAAGAATCAACAAGGAAAACACGAGAGAGATGTGCCAACTATTTCAGCCAACACTGGCACTGAAAAGTTACTTGGCACAACCTGCACAAACCAAATGAGAAATAGTGTTTGTGATGCTGCTACTCAAACAACAAAATGCTGTAAAAAAAAAAGTTAGACCTTCCTGCATGACCACCAATCTGAACACGGCTCAGGCTCATTGAGTACACTTGGACATACTTTTGTAGGCTGCTAAGAAAGCACTCATCCATTCAGCTCTCTAGTCCACAAAAATATACAACTCCCAGAAGTTCTGCTGTGAACACTAAGACACATCTCTGTTTCTTAAATGACAAGAACTAGCTTATGACAAAGTCAAGAACTTACAATAAATAGTCCCCAAAAACCAAAGACTCTATACTTAAAAGCATGTTTTGTACAGTACTTTAGTTCATTAAAACATGAAAAATAAATGTGTATGTTGAATTAAAATACTAACAAATTGCTTACTGTTGGAATTGCAGCTGTACAGCTAACTCTATGAAGTCGCCTCTGCATTAGATCATGCTCCATACCATTGACTTCCGTTTTCAGGCGTTCGAGCTCTTCTTTTTCAAGCTTCAGTTCCTTTGCTAATCTCTCCATCCTTGCTCGTTGATGTAACAGCAAGGCTAATGTTTTACATAAAAGAAATGGTTACTAACACATAAAAACCTGGAAAACTCAATTCTTAACTTAAGCCTAAGATTCATGAGTGACCTTTCTGGAAAAAAAAAGTGATCATAAACATGCAGCCAAGTATCAGTGTGAAGATGCTTTCATGCCAAATGAACTACAACTTAGAACAAAGTTCTTCCAGAATAAAAACACATTTTAGACAGTAACTTGAAGTTGATATTACCATTTTGGTCAAAGCTTCTTTTTTTGCATTTGGTCTTTCTCGTCTCAAAAATACAAAGGCACCTGTACAAGGAGACAGCTTCTCAGGATGAAACAGCAACCTAGTTATACTGATACTCTACTGACAAAAAAATAAATACCAGAGGTAAGACCAGAAGGTAACACACACTTCATACCTGCTGCTCACAGCAGCTGACACACTAGCCTTGAGACATTAGCCAAATGTCAGTCCTGAATTGTGGGGTCTTTTCACTGCTATTTACAGATTATGCTGTAATAACTTTAAGCATTCTCTGCTTTTCTGGGAGTACTGTAATCCTCCACACTAAGTTCCCCAGTGTTCAAAGGCAAAACTACAGAACTTCTATGAAACAGCCTAGAGAATCCGAAAAATAAGAACTGGGGTCAGCTCAGGTGCTTCAGACTCTTTAATTCTACAGCAGAGCTGATTCCTCTAACCTCTCTGCTGTTAGTCATTCTCTCAGTTTTGTCATGGTACTGGAATTTATGACTCTCAGACACAAGCTGATGTTGGACTCCCAGACAGCCAAAGAAAGAATTTTGCCTAGCTAGAAGATAATATTCAGCTTCCTCAGGCAGAGCATTTTTCAGTTCTTTATCATGATGCAAAACTGGCCAAGTTACTGTGATGCTCAATCCTTTCTGATCTGGCTGGTTTCACCTGACTGAAGCCTGCTAGAACAGAGAAGAGCAACAGGCAGTTGATGTGGTTATTCAGACAAACATGCTGCTCATGTAGCAATGTTCCAGCAAACTGTTAAAAATAAAGACACCGTAGAACCTGCAAAATGCTGCTTCACAAACAGCACCAGAGAGCACTTGCCCTTTTCTGCACTACTGTTCAACAAAGGCAAAGGAAAAGCACATAATACCTCAAGCATATTTGCATACTACCTGAAAAGAGTTACAAATCTAAGCAACAACATGACATAACTTACTGTGGAAGGACAAAATTGCCCCAACCAGTCAGGAGCATAAAAAACACAGTGATTTTTTATCAGATGTCAGTATTCTGTGCATAAATACAGCACTGAATTTTGGATTTTGTCTGGATTCACCAACTCACGGACAAAGAATAAACACCAAAAATCCTATCCAAGAATAACATCAGAGGTTTTTATCCTACAAGCACAAGTATTAGTGAACAAAACTATTCTCCACTTTTTGAAGCAACGTAAGCCATGCAAGCAGAATTAAGGAAAAAAAGGTACATATACCAGGTATGATTTCCCACTATTACTACAAACCTCCTCTCTGTGTGATTCCTCCAGCTTAATACAATATGACCACATATCTTAGCTCCACATTATACCCCAGTACAACTCAAACATGATTCAGACTACAAACAGCCCAAGTACAGAAACCAGAATGAATTTTTGGTAACACTTTTCACAATGGTTCACCTTCAAGAGAAAATTATATAAACTTGTTCCCTATATCAAGCTGTTAAATATACTCTCCTTTAGGACTCCTTCGTGGTAGTAAAGAAGATAATGTTTACTCTTCTACAGTGCATTTCTATGAAGAGTTCAGAGCACAGCAATACCCACAGCTGTACTGCCACAAATGCAAACACTTAATAGCTTTATTTGGTTTGTTTCACAAATAAACAAATCCAGTCTAAGACACAATGGCAAAGGCAGATTGCTACATTTCAGAATATGTTTTTCACAGCTAGGTGAAGCTACCTGTGGTTTTCTCACAGAAATGAAATCTTCACTGAAGCTGCAGCAGGAACACTACCAAACAAACCGTGTGGCCTCGAAGTTACAGACCTACTAGCATTCATTTTTACTAAAGAATTGGCTCTAAGGAATTTCTAATTGGGTCTTGAGGTACAAAACATCTCTTTGCTGGCGAGTTAGCAAAGCTCAAAAGACACTAAGTGAAATAAGAAATCAAGAGCTACAGGGCAACACTATAACCATTATTTCAGCTCTCTGAAGTGAGAAACAGGCAAAAAGGAACAACAGAGGAATTGACTCTCCTTTCCAAACACAATCCAGAAAAATAATTGTTGCTGGTTATCATTCTGTCATTACCCCAAATGACTGGTTTGAATGCTTGCAGACTTACTCATTTGCTCAATCTTAAATGTTTGAAATCTACACGGCAGATTACTCTGAGAAAAGTAGTTGGCAGCTGAAAGTTAAATTGCACTTTTCCTAAAAAACTGAATAACTGAATTCTTCATGTATATATGGCATCAAAACCATGTTCTATCCCTGTGTAGCAGAACACACATCCTAAAATTTGTGTCCCAATCTCTTCCTCCTCCTCTTCAAAAAAACTAAGTGGAAGAAGTAAACTTTTGATTAAGCTCTTAAAACTAATTATTTTAATACCTTTCAAAACAAAAATATCTGTATTGACACAAAAAGGTTTTTTAGCTGCAATTCTACCTCTCTCTCTCTCTCTCTCTCTCTCTCTCCTCTCCTACTTAATATTCTTCAATCAAACCAAATAAATTGGATTCCAATGCAGAAATCAGTGCTTCCAGGTCTCATAAAACACTCAAATATGGAGCAAATACAATACAATTAAAAATTCCACATGTAAATTTATGACACAATTCTTCAATGCAGAATTTACAAACTGGACACACAAGGTATGAACAAGCCACTTATCCTTGTTAATTACTTAATATTCTTCAATCAAACCAAATAAATTGGATTCCAATGCAGAAATCAGTGCTTCCAGGTCTCATAAAACACTCAAATATGGAGCAAATACAATACAATTAAAAATTCCACATGTAAATTTATGACACAATTCTTCAATGCAGAATTTACAAACTGGACACACAAGGTATGAACAAGCCACTTATCCTTGTTAATTGCAGTATTTTAACAAAGTCCTCCAACATCAAAAGCACAGCAACTTTAAGGCCATCAGAAATTCTTTACACATTGGACCAAAATTTGGCAATTTTTAAAAGAAAATCAGAACAAACTCTCTCATTAGATGATTTTTGGTGCAATTTCTATTCTTCTCTGTACAGGTTGAAACCCTCTCACTTAGTGAGCTGCACAATCAAGCTGAAAACGCGTTTTACAACGCCACAATTCGCGGGGTGAAACATTTACCTTGAGTGTAAGCATAGTCGTCTGATCCAGAACTAGAACTTCTCTGATATTTATGGCTTCCTTTTTCTCCTCCAGATCCTGGGATTACAGAAATAGGCTGAATAGGTTCTGGTGCTGCAGAACGCTCTTCTTGGTCCACTAAATTTAAAAGATTCTCAGTCGGTGCTCGACCTACTGTGATTTTAAAAATGGTTGGGTTTGGCTGAGATACCATTACCCGAGGAGACTGTGTTGGTGCACCTGCAGGTCCAGTTGGTTGAGTATAGGTAATATATACTGGATTAACACTAAATGGAGGTTTGGGTTGACCCGACATACCTCTTGATGGAGAGCTTGAAGGAGGAGTAGTGGCTGCATACAGCGGGTGCTGGTTTCGTTGAGATGGTTGATTACTTATTGGTGAAGGACTTCTGTTCATTGCAGTCCCAGGTCTTTGCGGTGGCTCAACTGTGATTTCTATTTTGTTCATGGAACCTTTGGATAAACTAGGTCCAGCAAAAGGAGGAAGGTATGACACAGAGTGACCGCCTTGTTTTTGAAAAGTCTGGGATGCTTGCTGATATGGGTGGGGTGGGACAGTGGAAGGGCTAGGAGGCATGAAAACATGTGAACTCTGATGACTCAGCTGAGGAGGCTGCACTTGGTGCTGGGGAGAGCCAAAGGGAGAGGGACACTGGGATGCCGGCGGTGATCGGAAAGCCGACTGAGGGATCTGGGGTTGTTTAGGAGAATACTGAGAAGGTTGGTAGTTCTGCTGATGTGGATACACAGGTAGAGGACGGGGACTATAATGTGGAACTGGGCCCTGTGGCGATGAATGCCACTGTGTGTTCTGAGGAGTCTGTCGTCCTGAAGAACTTTGAGATGTTTGTCTTATATAAATAGAGCCAGGAGTTCCGTAAAGATTGCTTGGAATCTGAGGAAGAATTTGTAGAGCTCTGGGCACACTCTGTCCGGAGGGGAGGTTCTGTGAGACTGTAACAGTAATGGGGTTTGTACTGTACCGAGGTATGTGCATGTACGTGGGAGGGCCTTGCATAGCAGACGTGTTCATTCCGGGCTGTATGGACGACGGCTGTGGGGGTGGCTGTGGAGGGGGAGTAGCTGCATTTCTATTCTGGTCATTCATGAAAAATGGATTGTAACTAGGAGAAGCTGCCACAACAGCGGGAGCAGAATGTGGCTCTTGAACCAAACATATCAGCTGCTTCCCTGCCGCGCGTTGTGGATCAATGTGTCCATCGCTTGAGCTGTGAACCAGTGTGCGACCACCGTTCAGCTGAGCTCCATCCCCCCCGGGATAGCTGGTGTGAGGATGAATACCCAGATTGATGTGCAAAAGGCTATTTCTATTCATTCTGGTGTCATCAGGGCTATGGTACTCCATGTACAAGTATTTGTTGCTCTCCTGCGCAAGGGCTCGGCAACAGGCATCGAGGTTGTTGTTGTTCTAAGGAGCAAGAACAAACACCTGTTACTGCCAGAGAGACAAGAAAAAGCCACAGCTCAGTGTTCAACAAGCACTCAGCTGAAGCTGCAATCAAGCACAGCCTGACGACAACTAGGGATAACATTTCATACACAGGAACAAAGCCATAGTATGGAAGTACTACACTGCTCCCGTTGCATCTGGCAAAACACTACGGCAACAGTAGCTTCATTATGACGTATTTAAAAAAACCAGGTCCAGTTCTGGGGAAAGCAATGGTTTGAACCCTTGGCATCTTCTGGAAGGAATAGGTCTGCTCAATTAACTACTTCTAGTAACAACAGAAATCAAATTAAACTAGGTCAAAACTGCAAACCCTGGAGAAGCAAAACAAAAATGCAGATGAGATCTGAATGTCTACCTGTTGACTGTTTTCACTTTTATTTTACTGTTTACCTGAGTATTTTTCTTTAACTGAAAGTATAAAACTCCAACATCTTAAACCAGCTTTTATTGGTAGAACAGTATTCAATGCCTTAAAAGTGATGTCAGAATAAGTCTTGCTTGAAGACATACTGGCAATTCCATAAAGCACAGTTATGACAAAATTTCAAGTGCCTTTAAGAATTTCAAGTTCAAGGCTAAAATAGGTTTATCCTTGTATCAGTGAAGAATGATTTGTTCTGTGGTGTTAGGAGCCGAAATTATACAGACAATTAATTACAAATCAAATGAAATGTATAATGGGGAATCCCCTTTCCCTTCTTGCCCTCTCCCCTCATTTTAGTTTAATCTACTCGTGTTAGAAGAACAACACAAATGATAGCTTTTTCAAAAGAGTAAAATCACTAGAAAGCATTCCAGATGGTGGATTTTTTTTTTCTCCTCAGTTTCTCATACAACAGCCTGTATCAGCTGTGGTTCATACCATAATTTAAAAAGCAGTTAAAGAGAAAAATTTCACTTTAGGTTAAATTCAACTACAGCTGTCTCTCAGCACCCTAACTTTGTTACACATGACCCCAGACTGGTACCTCCCACCAGAACCAGCATGTACATATGTATATATACACACACATACACATCCCAACCTCAGTGTGCCAAAATTACCATGCTAAGGAATACACATTAATAATGATTTCACTTCTATTTTAAACTCTTTCACTATATACACTTGCATACATATGAATACTCACATGGCCCTGCAATACAATTTTCAACAGTCTATCCATTGTCTAAAAATTCGTGTTATGTTTCTCTTCTAAAGGACCAATACCTAGTCAGTCTTAATCCTGAAGTGAAGATGACTTTCACAGAATTTCATTATTTCATTACCAGATGAACACACATTCAGCAGCTAGTCACATGAAGAGCTACGACTGAACATGACAGAGTCCAGCACTGAACTGTAAATGTGTCTCACTCTACAGATACTTCTCCCTGACTACTTCCCCTTCATGCTAAGCTCTCCTAGACCCCAATGGTCAATGGGAATATCCAGACATAGCACTAAAAATTTAAGACCAGGATATGTGAGAACCAGCACTACAGTGCCAAGACAGCAGTCTCAAAATGTTAACCACTACTATCGTCACTTGACATCTAAACAGAACTTCATGAACAGAGTCTTCAGCTTCCTTAGGTCACTTGGTCAAGGTGAGGGCAGTAACTACATAGACAGGAAAGGTCCTAATCTAATTTTCTCAGGGTATGGAACATATTTGCCATTTCAGAGGACCCTCAATTTTTGACAGGTCTAAAACTCAAACTGATTTAAATCGAGAGCACTTATTGCAAAAGGTTAATAGAAACCAGGTCACACATCTTGAATACAGAGTGGGTTTGGAAACAAAATCTACACTTCAAAATATAACTACTATTTTCTATGTAATGTTAAGTAGCTATCCAGAATGCTGTATTACAGCTACAGAACAACATATGCTTCTGCAGCATTAGGGGTTCCTTAATTTCAGTGGTTTAAAGATGTCTATGACAAAGGGTTCATCAGAAGGATCACGTACTTAACAGCACACAGAGATGACTGCCAGGATAAGTAAAGCTTTAAATTGCAGGGCTTCCCTGCTTTATGTTTGTCTGGAAGCAATTAATTTGCATTTCTGTGGTTTAGAAGACACACAGTACAAAAATTCCAACCCCTGTTCCAAGGAAACCTATTCATCTGCCAGGGGCAGGTAGGATGCAAACATAACTTCGCCACCTGAGCCATGGACACACAGATCCTGCATGTTTCTATTGCATTCCCGAATCTTCCCATTCACTGAAGGTATTCCCAGGTGACCACTACTTTGCAAAATGACTATGCGTGGTAACTTACTGTAATTCCAATTTGTGATTTTAGATGAAGGTGGAATGATGAAATGGAAAAGGGCAGTGGGGGAAGGGAAAGA